TGAAATTTCAGTTAATTATTCATCATAAGCAAGATTGAAAAATTAAATAGAAAATTAAGCAACTCTGAAAATGCTGTGACTTTTCTAAACAACTGTATATCTGATAGTATGAATCCTAAATATATATATATATATATACATATATATATGATAGAATGAACAATAATTTTAACACACAAATAGACATACATACACACAAATACAAAATATACAAATAACTGTTTGATAAATTTTATGTCGTACGATGACAAATGAAATAAACATTAAAACTGTTCGTCATTGTCTCTAATTTAGTGACATCTATTTTACTAGCACTATCCTTATGAATATTGATTATAATGTAAGTGAACGAATTATTACATCACAAACAAGAACATGAAAAACAATTTTTTTTAAATCAGTCAAAATTCAAAAAGTCAATCAAAACATAAGTCATGTCACGCTGGCTCTTGAAGCATCTCGTCTGAATCATCATTACCATTATTATTATCATCATTATTATCATCATTACCGTCATTATCATCATCATTATTATCATTATTTTCATGATCAATTTGCATTCGGAGAGATGAACGGAATCTGCATCAAAATATTAAAATTAAATTAATTAGATATTTATTCCATTTTTTATTCTGCCCATTTGTCATTGAATATGAATTTTAACATGAAAATAACACAGCTCATTGGTTGTTCAACGTTTAATTTCATATAAAGAAATGAATTTTGTAGTTATTTTATTCGTTTCTTCTGGGAAAAAAGTTTCATAATGAAAGTTAATAAACGTTTTTAAACAGTAAAATCAAATACAGCTCGACAACATTATTCTCCACGTATCTCCGTCGTCAACTAATATTTAGAAAAACAACTAGAATTTTAGTTGAGTTATCCATTTTTAGGTTGGACCGACCGATGTAAACGAAGTTTTCCATCCAATTTATTAATTAACCCAAAATTAGGCAAAACTTCTTCCTAGACAACATATAAATCTAATACTTTCTTTCCCTTATAAATTTACTAATATAATTTTTAGAGTAATCTTTTTAATGAAAAAAACCAGATGTGAGAATGAACTTAAACGATAAAGGACCCAAATATTAAAATATTTATATTATTCAAAATGCAAAGCAAAAAACACTAGAACAAAACATAAAATCAATTGAACGTGTTACACCCGACACATATAAATCGATTTTTTTAAATGTAATTTGCTGCATCAATCATGCATTCCGTGAGATAAATAAATGACTCAACCTAAGGAGAATAATATTTTCTAACTAAACACATAAAAAATTGCCAGAAGCAATTTAAATCAGGTCCAAGTAAAAAAAGTTCTTGCTTGCTCATCATTTCAACTCTCAAGTTAAAACATTGTCTTAAATTGAAGAAATTGAAACAGCCTTTTGACCATCTGAGCCAATTTAATAAAGAAACATGCTGGAGACATGCACCACAATTGAAAAACTTAAAAAACTTAACATTGATTGCAGAGAAGAAACATCTACATGAACTGGATAAAATAATGCATAAAACCTAATTTGAAAGATGACCACAAACAGCAAGCAGACTTACTTTCGCAGTGTTCTAGAATGAGGAAGGTGGAGGCCGTTGCTTCGAAGAAAATCATAGGCTTTTGGGCTGTACATGTGGAGAGTTGTGGCAAACAATTTCTGGTCTAAATTAAACTTCCTTTCGGTCTTGAACAAATCCAAAAATTTATCTGATAAATGAATATTTGAAGGAATTAATGTTAGATAATAATCATAATAATTGAATCATGTTGAATGTTACTCACTATCAAATCTCGTCAGTTTATCTGTCAACTCCTGATTCAGTGACTTCAATTCTTCAACCTTTTCTAGCAATAAGTTATATTTCTTACTCAATCGAAGTTCCCTTTTCACCGAATTTTTGTACTTCATATTTGCTTCCATAAGCCTCACCTGCGCTTTTTTATACTTCGTAATGAGCAGGGCGGGAGTTGTGCTGTATTTGTGGTCCTGGGCGTTGATATTAATATTGATTATAGTATCAAATATAATTGTGTTAAATATTAATGTTTGGGACATTTATGTAAAGAACAGTGGTGCATTATGTATTGGTATAATTTAATGAAGTAGGACCAAATCTCTCACAAGTGCAACAAATCCTTTTTGACTACAGGGAAACGGCAGATGAGACATTTCAAACTCCTTGCGAGGTATAAAACTTGTCCCACTAGCTATCTTTGTGAAAAAACAAAATGGCCACTATACATTTTTTTATTAAATTTTTTGCAATCTAAAAAAATCATTACAGGTGGGTTTAAAATTTCATGTTATATGCCTCCAGAGATAAAACAATTGAAGAATGTATGACGCTGTAACGTATAAATGTAAAATGATAAGTTAATAATTTATCAATCACGAAGCAACAACTGCCCTATATCTTAACTTATCAAAAATGATTTAATGGAATGAAATCAGAGATTGTAAATAGTGGAACTCTTGTTAATATTACTCACTCTGACAGTTAAGAAGAAATTTCTAAGTACTTTGTTTCAAATTAGTTAACAGCTGATATATAGATTATTATCACTACACAATGATGATAGTGGCAAGGATAATGACGATGATGCCACTGAAGGTGATAACAATTACTATTTTTTTAAATTATTACTTTTCAAAACTCACACCAAAAATAATTTTTTTAATACTATCTTCTAAAATTTTCCACATAACAAACCACTATTTTTTGCATCATATAAATTTTTGGTTATAATTTTAAAGATGAACTTTTTAGGAATACCAACCTTCACAGTCTAATGAAATTATGTGGTATAAATAGATCATTGAGTTCATTTATAGATTTGCATCATATTGCATTTGTTTTTATTTATTTATTTATTTTTTTTTATTATTCTTTAAAAATCAGGATCTGACAGACGCATTATTCGTGGAATGTGAATAACAAGATCTGACAGACGCATTATTCGTGGAATGTAAATAACAGTATAAATTTAACTGGAAGCACATGAAGGACTCTAATTTAAAATTTTGGAAAGTAGTTAAACTGTTAGGCAGCAGTTAAGAGCAAATATAAGCTGCTATTGTTAAATATAGTAAAAGAATGGTTAGCTACAATCTGTTTTATAAGTAGTCAGCACAACACTGAACAAAATACCAAGAACAAATCTAGAAACGTAAAATTATTACAAGAAAACACATTGAATATTAGAGTAAATTTTTACTTGCAACTGTAGCCGACTCGGTGATGATTCTTCAGCAGATGTTTGATTAACATCAACCCCATCTTGAATATGATTACAAGCTTCCTATGATACAAAATATATATGTCAGCTTCATTTTCAAAGAATATTAATATATTTGTGTACCAACACATTTTGTTTAACTTTAATATATCATCGATCAAAAGAACATGAACAAATCTGGATATGTTCAATTACTACAAGGAAAACACGATGTTTAATATGTATGGTAATAATGATTTAAATGAATGATGTTTTGAAGGATTGGATATCAAACATAGAGTAAATTTTTACTTGCAACTGTAGCCGACTCGGTGATGATTCTTCAGCAGATGCTTGATTAACATTAACCCCATTTTGAATATGATTACATGCTTCCTATGATAAAAAATATATATGTCATCTTCATTCTTAGAGAATATTAATACATTTGTTGACCAACACAAAAAATAATGATAATAAAAGTAAAAACTTTACTTTTGAACGTAATTGACTTGATAATGATTCCATATTCGTTTGATTTACAACTCTGCCTCGACCTTTCTAACATAAAAATACACATCACAATAATTATTTGACTTGTGAAACTATTTATTTCAATATAAACAACAAAAATATCAAGAACTAGGTATATATCTGCTTAGAATACTAACTATAAAACATGGGATAGCTATTTCCTTTAGAGTTTTTCTTTTAAAATTAGGCCCTATTGTATTGAAATCCTCATCACTGAAATGGTCACTGCACACCCGGGCATCTAAAGATGGATTCCAATTGGGATCATTTAATCCTATTCTGATGGAAGCTATCCATTTATTTTTCTTCTCTGGGTGTTTGGAGAACCTAGTTTCATAATGATATAAAAAAAAGCTAATAACAAGTAAGCAGTGCTGCTGTATATACTTTTTTTGTTATAAATTATAATTGATCAACTTCATTTTTGAAAGTAGAAAACAAATCTAATTAAATCTTCATTCATAAGGATAATCTCAATGTGAAAATAAAATCTATAGAAATAGACAATAGAGCAAACATTAATTAAATGAATTTATAAAACATTCCATTAATCAGTTGAGCCAGAGATCCGCCCTGGTAATTAAGTATATATGCCTCAACTGGAAATGCCAAAATTGGAAAAGTTTACTGTCTTGACTACATTGCTAACATTAACTAACAGGCACTAACAGTTAATTTAAAGGAAAGGCTGGTAATTACAACTATGTTCATAAATTTATATAGTGTATTTTAAAAACTTATATATACATAGATAAATACATTTTATTTAGAAATATAAAGCCCATTCATAAGTTTGACTCAATAATTATGTTTATAGCATATCAACGGCGATGCAGTCAAAAAGGTATAATGATGTCTTTATTGTAAGTAGGTGTAAGTAAATTATTAAATAAAACTAACAGGTCTTTCACTCAGGGCGGTTCTCTGACTTAATCAGACCGATTTTTTCTTAACAGACAACGAACCGATGAAAAGATAATCCTGAAGAAACCCTATTTCTACAGGTGGGTATACAACAGACAAACATCTTCTTAAAAAAGGCACGTCTTTTATATGTTATATTTTTTTTATTGACTCAATATTATTGATGACAACAGATGAATATGATACACTTTTTCTTTCAATTAATAATAATGTATTATATTTTATTACAATAGCTTCTCGCTGTAAGTAAGTGCCAACTGTAATAAAAATTAAAATAATTAATATTACTACAACTATTTAATTTCAATCAATGACTTATAACTAGAGATCTACTGAATATTCAGTTAAAAAATTTCAGGGTTCAGCTTTGCTTTGGTCATTTCCAAAGCAAAGGCTGAATAACTGCAAAATATTTCAACTTTTTCTTTTAACTGGAATTCAACTTTTTAAAAAATTGTACAAGAGGTGGTATAGCTGTTTTCTCTATCCGATTCCAATCTGATATTTTCATTTGGATGTCATCCACCTGACCTTCACTATTCTATTTAAGAACTGAATAGCCATCAATTCAATTATTTAATACACTAAAAAACATACTCTTTATTTTTATTATAAATTATTAATTAATAGTAATAAATTACTTACATTTATATATTAGTAGGTTCTATTTTAAGATTTGATTTGCTAAAAATACATTCTATGATTCTATAGAATAGAAACTATTATAATGTTATATTATATTATAAATTATAGATACTTAGATAGCTATACGTCTGTTAGAACACTCCCTGAAAATTGTCGAAAAAATCATTGAGAGAAGATTAACGTCGTGCATCACAATCGGAAATAATCAATTTGGTTTTCTAGCTGGGAAATCAACAATTGATACAATTCACATGCTTCGGCAACTGCAAAAGAAGTACCTCGCAAAGCATCAACAATTATCACACATTTTTGTAGACCTTGAAAAAGCATATGATCGAGTTCCCCGTGAAGCAATCAGGTGGAGTCTACGTCGACAACTTATTCCAGAATATCTTGTTCGACTTGTGATGGAAATGTATACGAATACTAAGACTCTTGTCAGCACAAACGATTGGAAACATAGATGCATTTGACATCGGCGTTTGAGTTCACCAAGGCTCGATTCTCAGTCCACTGTTATTTATAACTGTGATGGAAGAAATCACAAAACCGATACGCACTGGTGACATTTGGAATCTAGTATATGCTGATGATATCGTTTTAACAGCCACGTCTGAGCAGAATGCAGCACAGATGTTTGAAGATTGGAACACCAGACTCGCCGATCATGGATTCAAAGTCAACATCAGCAAAACCAAAGCAATGAACACTGGTGAACCCATCCAATCCACAGCAACTGAACGATGGCCCTGTTCAGTTTGTTAAGCTGGTGTAGGTAACAATTCAATCAAGTGTCAGCAGTGTAACCAGTGGTGTCACAAACGTTGTTCAAAAATAATTGGTACTTTATCTAAAATGTCCAATTTTGTTCGTCCTGCTTGCATCAATCCACCACAACAAATTCGAAATAGCACTGTTTTTGAAGCCATTAAAATAGAGAAAGTCACATCGTTTCAATATCTAGGGAATGTTCTGGATTGTACTGGAACAGCTGAAGCTGCCGTTCGAGCACGCATATGTGCAGCCTGGAATAAATGGCATCTCCTTGCTTCTATATTGATGCGGCATGACATCCCACTACCACTACGATCAAGACTTTATAAATCTGTGATACATCCGGTGTTGTTATATGGTGCAGAAACATGGCCAATGACAACCAAACTGGAACAACAACTTCAACGAACCGACATGAAAATGTTCCGATGGATGCAACGAATTAGTCTGAAGAACCACATCAAATCTACCGAAATCCTGCGTCGCACTGGTTTAGATGATATAAAGGACGAATGCCGGCAACACCGTCTACGCTGGTTTGGTCATGTCAAATGAAGTGGAAACAGTGCCATAACTTCTCTTGCAGATGTTGAAATACCTGGCACACGTCCCAAAGGCCGTCCAAAGAAGTCCTGGTCGCAAACAATCGAGCAAGACATGAAAGCTCTAAATTTAAATGAAATGGATACAACTGATCGTCTAATTTGGCACAAAAAGTTGATGGCAAAGAAAACAACGTCCTAACTCGAGAAACCGGGTCTCTGGACGCAAAACGAAGATTGATTGATACTTAGATAGCTATGTTGTTCAGTTCAGTATATCTATATCTTTATATTATATATAATCTAACTAAAGTCCATCTATCTTTCTCTAAATCTAATCTAATCCATAATATAATTTTCTAATGATTAATAATCAAAAAATTAAATTAAATTAAATTAATAAAAATATTAGATTAAATAATAAAAGGAATATTATTATAAAAATAACTATTAAAAAATAAAATTATTTTTTATTAATTATTGATTATTCTTATAATAATTTATTAATTAATTATTTAATTAATAATTAAATTTATTATAATTATAATATTTTATAATTTATAATTTATTATGGTGGTGGTATGAAATATGAATGAAATAAACAATTAAAAAATGAAATAAATAATTAAAACTTTTATATTAATTTATTATCTTTTCATAGTTTAAATAATATAAATTTATATTACTGATCCAGAGACTAACGAAGCGATTATTAACTCCTTAGCAATTACAAATTATCGCCCATCCAAACAAATGGCGGCCCCAGAGCGGATCCAACGGAGCAGCAAGTGGTATTCGCTAAAATTACTTTGGTTTATATGAAATTTTAAAAAAATAGATACAACGACAAAACAATATGGAGTGCCGAATCAGTTTTAAATAATGGGATAGAATAAACAGCTCTAGTTACAGTATGTATTTGTTTTTTTTTTCAGTATAAATTAATTATTATTTTCATAAATTTATTTAAATGACGTTTATGTAAATATATTTGATGCTTATTGGATAAATAACTTCATACAACTACAGTATATAAATTGAAATGCACTCAAACCTGAATGTTGACCGGGACGGTGTAGCGTTTACGTCATCATAATTTTTTATGGAGGTTCTTTCATTTCATTGAATAAAAAATGAAAATTAAATAGTTGACCTATAGGTGTTTACGTTATTATGTTCTATTTGTTAACTCTTGCCAACATCCTGCAGCGTCTAAACAATTAGCAAATATCAGTAACCATTTAATCAAATCTATTCCGCAGGCCCGATAAAAGATGCTCAAGCTATTTCTTTTGGTTTAATTAGGTGTATTATTGATGTGAACAATTGGTTAAATTTGGTTAAATAATGGTTTAATCGTTTGAAGCTTAACCCAGACAAGACAGAGTTGACATGGTTTGGTTCTAAAAAAAAGTTTTATCTGCACTAGGAGGTATTACATATAATATGTTGGGTAATAGGTTGATCTCGGCTGACAAGGTCAAAAACTTGGGTGTGATGTTTGACAGTGCTATGATGATGTGGCCTCAGGTCGCGAAACTCAATGCTATTTGCTTTCTTCAGCTACGAAAATTGTGTCTGGTCTTCCAGTTGACATTTTTACTAGCCTAGTGGTGACGTTTGTACTGTCTGGATTAGACTATTGCAATTCATTGCTGTATTGTGCTGGTGTAGGGGTAGCAAATTAAGTTCAACGAACCCAGAATGCTGCCGCCAGATTGGTCATTGGTCTAAGTAGACGTGATCACATTACAAAGTGGTTGGAAAGTCTCCATTGGCTACCGATCAAAAAACGATTAAGATTTAAGATGGCCGAGGTGGCTCATGTTTGCGTACATGGTGGCAGCCCAGAATATCTGAAGGAGGTTTTTTGCAAAAGAACTGAAGTTGATGTGGGACATGCATTGCGTTCGGTTTCGTCAGAAATGATGGTAATTCCTAGGACCAGGATAAAACTGGGTGATAGATATGTACAGGTTGCTCTGCCCAAGGTATAGAATGATCTTCCAACAAGATTGAAACAAATTGTTCCAGAAAAGATTTCAGAAGAGAGTTAAAAAGTTATTTGTTCAACAAAGCATTTAATCTCAGTAGTACTATCCTCTGAGGAATGTCAATAGAGTGAATAACATAATAATAATAATAATAATAATAATAATAATAATAATAATAATAATAATAATAATAATAATAATAATAACAATAATAACAATAATAATAATAATAACAACAACAACAACAATGATAATAATAATAAATAATAATAATAATACAAATAGTAATAAATAATAATAATAATAATAATAATAACATCATTGCTACAATGATGTTTTCAAGTATTTTTCCTCAAGTACAAGTACTCAAATCCCAAGTAAAAGTATTGATTAATTTTCTTCGAGTACAAGAACAAATACCGACTCATCAAACACTAGTAATATAGTTCTATATCATACTCAAGTACAAGTACTATAGTTCAAGTACAAGTACTTTTATCTTACCCGCCCCACCAGCACCTACATTGCCTTGCGCTCCAACTTAATAATAATAATGTAAAACTTAATTAAAAACTTACCTTTTGATACACTTACATCGTTCCTATAATTAATATATATATACTGCATATATCTTTGTCGTATTATATATTTATATACATATAATTAATATATATATATATTTACTTTATATATAAGTAAAGTATCACGTCTATTGTATCGTTGCCATGTTAATACGTGTGCGTGTGTTATTTACAAAATTGATGGGTCACCATCAACTTCGTCGTTTTTAGAGGTTAAATTATGACAATATTTGTTGTAGGTTTCTGGATCGTTACGTTTTTATGTACTTTAATATTTTTGCTAACTAAAAACTCATTCAGCAGCAATCATGATAAGAATTTCAGCAGGTTTCAACACATCTACCTGTTGGTATATTTGTTTGCCACAGGTAAGTAAATTAAGTTTTATTAGTAAGACTGTGCAAAGAGTAAGTTGTAATTGTAAGAGTCTCTCTCCTTTCTCTTAATTTTTAATTACTTATCATACTGCATAGCACTGATTTAATATTTTTATCCTTCATACTATTGAAAAGTTTAAGTTACTATTCAAAACCCCTATGTCTATCTACTACTAGTTTAGCAAGACTAATATCGGTTGTTTTGTTGAGTTAACAAGGCTCACTTGCTTCTATCATCATATTTAATCATTTCCAGATTTTTTTAAATTAGCTCATTCAGGTCTTTTTTTATTATCTTAATTATCTTACACATATTTAAAAATTTGTATATTAATGAAATTTATATTTGAGCTTGGCATATATAAAAATATTTTGAGTTTATTTCAATTTCTCTTAAAATAAAAGCAAGTGATTGGATTCAAGGACCTTACATTTATGCTCTGTACAGACACTATGGATTTTCATCCCAGGAAATAGATCGGCTGTTTGTGGCTGGGTATGGGTCGAGTATGGTCTTTGGGACTTTTGTCGGGTCGTTGGCTGATAGATTGTGAGTTTTGAATTAATTACAAAAGTCTTCTTTTTCATTTAAATAAATAATATATTATTTTTCTTATATATATATTTATAATATAACTACTTTTATAATTAGTCTCATTAAAATAATTTCACAAGCATGTAATAGCAATTTAATAGCATGCTGAAAATAACTCGTTTTTAAGAAATTAAAATCATAATTATTTTATTTTATGTGAATCTTTATTAGTGGTAGAAAGAAAAATTGCCTTCTTTATGCATTTTTGTACAGCTTATCTTGCATTACAAAAGTGAGTGTTTACTGTTTGTGTAATTATGTTCTTCTGTTCTTATACTGTTGTTATTAAATTATTATAGTAAATATTCTTATTTTGTTACTTATTGTTTTCAGATATATAGTATGACGTAAAAAATAGTGGGTGCATGCAAGCCTTCATGTTCATTTCTATCTTAATATATAAATATTTCAACTTAATTATATTATTGCTACGTCTGAAACTGAATGTCAATGAACATTTATTTTAACTAACAAACAAACAAACAAATAAATAAAATGCATGTAACAAAATGATAAAATTTGTACTTTGAAAAGTCAAATTAAGGCTGCATAAATTATGATGAATGGAATAATTAATTAATTATTCATTGCTACTTTGTCTATGTAATTGTACATAACTATAAATAACTAATCAAATAATTGAAGTAATTAGACTATAATTAAATGAATGAATAATGAATATTTTAAATAAATAAGTGACCATCCTCTGATGTGAACATGTTCAAGCTAAAAACTTTCATTAACAGTAAGATGTTGTTCCTGCACTTCCTTAGATGTCCAGTAGGAGCTCTAGGTGAGCCCTGAGCCAGTTTGCCATTGCGACCGGGTTCTTCCATAAATCTATGACTTTGAGATGAGGGGGTTCCTGGAACAGCTAAACAGTTTGGGACATCGTCTGGATGTTAATCTCAAAAAGGGCAGATAACGTTGTACCCACTATCTATTTTTGCCCTGAAGCTCTAAAGGAGAGTGCTATGGCCAGAAAGGAGTTGGACAAAGGTCCGTCTGATTGCCCTGGGCCGACATTTTTCTGATTTGTCTATTTTCGGTGGTGGTGGTAGCGATCCATTAAGCAGCACCGGTGCTAAATACGATTCTGAAGCGGTTTTGGCTGCATTGCTATGGAGAATGAATGATGCTGCTTTTAGGGAAACTTTGTTGATGGTGTCGGGTAACGCTTCTCTTGCCGTCTGGGACTATTTTAAGCTGAGGGTGCTCTTCATGTTAGGGTGGGGTTGTACCTGAGTTGTTATAGTGCGACACTGGGGGCTTGGGCTGTGGTATTTTAGTAGAAATCTGGAGGAGAGAAGTTCTGTGTGCTGCTTCACTGATGGCATTTGGCATTTCGAGTGCAGGTGCTGTTCTGATGTGATGATATTAGAAATAGTGCCATCAATTCGGAGATTGCCCTAACTTTTTCAGCTGTATTTGATTCGACATCCTGATGGTTCCATTGCTGTTGTGCATATTGTTGTTGCTCAACTTTGGTCATTCATTATTTTTAAAAAGCCATTATCTTGTTTTTTTAATTAATCACTTATAATAAATAATAGTATTTTTCGAAATATGAATAATATTGTTCAGCGTAATTATGTATTTTAAATATATTACACATTTTATAATTTTTTTATTTCAAAGCACATTCCAAGTTTTTCAGTCTTGTTTATTGGTCGAATTATTAGCGGAATAGCCACTTCTATATTGTGCAGTGCGTTTGAATCCTGGCTCATATGTGAGCATAACAAGGTAAGCACCCATCAGCCCTTATTTTAAAATGTAACTTTTTTTATTAGACTGTTTAATAATGTGTACAATTATTATCAATCATATTCAAAGCATCAATTTAGTTAGACGTCCTGATGGAAATTACCAATGTGATTACATAATACCAACAGAACAACTATCCCATGAATATGTTGTCGCCTGTTTTTTCAAGGGTCGTCATTGGAAATTCATTGGTGGCAATTGCATCTGGAATTGTTGCTCAGTTCTCTGTTGACTATTTCGGCTATGTGTAGGCCTTTTTATTTGATATCACGTTATCAAATATTTAAATACAGAGTTTTTTCTTTGATTTGATGCTTATTTGATAAAATATTTATTAAAATTGTCCAAAAACATTTCAGGGCTCCATATGATATAGCAATAATTATATTGACGATAATGTCAATACTCATATTCATCCTATGGGATGAAAATTATGGTGATGAGAAAATAAACTATTTTGTGTCTTTCCAAAATGCCTTTCGTGCCATCAAAATAGGTCAGAATTTTTCCCATCTTTCAAACTGATTAACATTATGGCTGGATTTAATGTTTCACTAAATAAGTTGTTAATTGTGCAGGACTGCAAGATCATAAATGAAATTTGTTTTTTCGTCTATGATTTTAATATTTAATATTTTATTTATTCATCAATTCAAACAATTGTAAGAAATGAAAATGATACGGAGATCAGAAAAGAAAAGATCTTATGATAGACCACCGTTAAACAGAAAAATTTCATTTAAAATAAAGAAATAGACATTAATACAAACAGAAATTTAAAATTAAACTTGCGTACAGGCTACAAAAAATATTGACAATATAATGGATTGAAGCAGCATAAAAACATTTACACGTAGTCCAGCGAATAAACCAATAAAAATTCGTTATTGACAAAGTATGAATACAGTAGACAAAGAATACAGTTCAATGATTTTATGATGATCGTGTCCACATACAAACACGAGCTTATACATGTTTACATATAAACACATTAATACACATGCACACATATGCGCACATACACACACATTTATACATTCCTAATCCTATAACAACATATATATAACACACATATATGTATAATAACATAGCATACCTAAATAGTGATATCATGTGTACAGGCTTAAAGAAAAGTTTTACAATGATGTTTGAAACAACCCCGTTTGGAGAGAAGTGGTAGATTGTGGCAGAAGTTTAAACCAAATTTTAGGCGCCATAATAAAAATGCTATCATTTAGAATTTTTAATCTGCTAAAGGGAATAATGTAAGGAATAAAATGCCGGGTGAAGTTAAAACAATCCGAAGGTTTATGTATTAAAAAATTAGAAAAGTTAGAAGGTAATCGGTTATTCATAAATTTATACATGAAAAGGGATGCATTAAGAATAAATAATTGAAATATGGTTAGCACGTTTAAAGAGAAAAAGTAATCATCAACATGGTCAGTTTGTTTAAGATAATATATAAGTTTGATAAATCTTTTTTGCAACTTAAATAATTTTAAAATATGAGTTTTTGGAGAGTGACCCTAAATAATATTACAATACGAAAGATGAGGGAAAATAAAAGCGTAGTACAATTGTAGAAACGTAGGAATATTAAGCTTATGCCTAATTTTGTAATACAATTCCAGTGTTTTGCTAATTCGAGACGTCAGCGAATCAATATTTTCAGCCCACGAAAAATTATCAGAAACAACGAGACCCAATAATTTGGCACTGGTTTTCCTTTCAATTTATTTAACAACTTTAATATAATTAATGAATCGAGAATGTTGCCTGTATCATAGACTGTTAATTTAAAACACTCGCTCTCACTCACTCTCACTCACTCACTCACTCACTCACTCACTCACTCACTCACTCACTCACTCACTCACTCATAATAATTGCTAACTTCTTTTTTGCATTCAATCTCAGAATGACTCACAATGAAACATTTGAAAATATTCAATGCATGCATATCATAGTAAGGTTTTGTAGAACTATAAAAATGTTGCTTGTCACAAAAAACTGAATTTCATTAAGTTTTGGATAGCACACTTATCTCTATAAAATTATCACCTTTTTGATCTAGGCATAATTTTATGATCAAAATGTAAAGAATTAGAAGGTAAACATATTCAATTGGTTTTAGAAGTAAAAAAAACTGGACAACTTGACTGGCTTTCACTTTGCAAAATTTCCTTAAATAAATTAATTGATTATTTATTATAAAATTGTCAGATGCGAAAATTTGTTATTTGGGTTTGGTGCAATCTCTTTTTGAAGGATCCATGTATACATTTGTGTTGAAGTGGACGCCTTTTCTTACGATTCAACATCCTCAGTCAGATGATCTTGAAAATAGTGATTCACTCGTCAATCTGATCACAAATTTCGTTTTAAATCACTCCAACGTTGTTTTTCTTAATGATACTGGTTCTCAAGTTTTCAACAGTGATCTTGGCAATCTTCAGACAATGGGTTATTCAACGAGTCAGTTTTATTTATTTCTATTCATTTTGTTTAATATCTGGAGCTTTGTGGTTGTACTTAACAAATTGACCAAACAGATGACGCCGGGACAGGTGATTATAAAGATGGTCACAGAGGTCAAATACCACACGGTTTCATTTTTGCAGCATTCATGGTGCGTTTTTATTTAAATAGATTATTTAGGTTTGTGTGAAGAAATAAATATTGTTATTAAGTAACATTTTAATTACATCAAATTATCTTACATTATAAAACTATAAGGTTTCCATAATGACTGGTTCCTCGCTCTTCCGAGTTTTGTCATCTCATTTCAAAGTTGAGTCTTTCCTAAGGTGATTTATAAAATTTTTATCCACACATCAATTTCTTATTCTTTTTTGCTGTATCGTTTGTCTTTGCTCAGTCAGCTCATTCAGTTTTTTCTCATTATTTAGGGTTTTATTCTTTATTTTCTAACAGACCACTAATTGTCGATTCATTAATTTGACGTGGGATATATTTTGATGTCCTCATATAATGACGGTTGTTTATAATTTTTTTTAAGATTTGTCTTGTTGTTGTCAGCCTTCTGCTTGTCTGTTCCCATCTTATTACCGCAGGTGAGTACCTTAGTTCAAAGTCTCATCTCAAAGTTCTACGATTAATTGTATTTTTTTTTGTAATATTATTTTCAGTTTTTTTTGTTTTAATTGAATTTATCAAATAAATTTTCGAGTATTTAACATTTCGCCAAACGATTTATAGATCTTTAGATCTTGTTATTTTAATTTCACTTGTGTCATTCTTATAAAAACTAAGTTATTAAATTGATCAGAATCAGTTGATGGTATACATCAGCTTCATTTTGTTTGAATTATGCGTTGGAATTTTTTGGCCATCGATGTCCATGATGAGAGGCAGATACCTGCCTGAAACAAGTCAGTTGTCTTTTTTTATCGACCCATATAATCGTTCTTATGACTTCCGAAAATTGCCGAAAATGTGAATCAAAGTTATTGTTTGTTTTAAAAATAAATTTTAGATAATGCTTTTTTAAAATTTTGGTTGTTTCCATTTTGCTATGTTTGATTTACTAAACAGACAGAGCAGCAATTATGAACATATTCAGGGTTCCTTTGAATTTTTTTGTCGTGGTTACTCTATTACAGGTATGACGATGTTATATAGACAACTTTTTCAAATTAAATTCGTTTGATTAAAATATTGATATCACTATAAGTGTATAGATCGAACTTCAGCAATCATTTGATTAGAGTTAAGTGGCCCTAGCAATGTTCTTTCATGATAAATCCGACAACTAAACCAGAATAATGAACTAAAATAAAATATAGTTTTTTCATGTCATTTTACAAACACATTTTTTGGTCTCATTTTTTAATCACGAATTAATTAATTTCGTTAAACACTAAACTATTAAATGTCTTGCAGAATTTTCCCATAAACGTAGTATTTTCGTGTTGCGTAGTTTTCTTGACTCTTGCAGCGTTTTTCCAGGATCGAATGTACAGGTAATAATTGTCCTTTTGCAAATTTTTTAAATAAATGTTCACTTTTCTGTTGTGTTTTGTGCTTCACTAAAAAAAGATGATGCGTTTTAAATAAGGTCGCCTCATTTTATCTGAATATTATTCTTTTAACATGAAAAGCAGATGTTCAAATGATTCGACAAAATCAGCCAACAAACTGGTGATGCCGACGTGAAGTGACTACATGAGGTGATCATCTGCAAACCATTAATTAGACTTACTATAAATATTCTGTTCACATATTTTGCACTTTCACTCGAATTGTAATTGTAAAACGTATTGCCCCAAGACGTTATTGTATTAAAAGCATTCATAATTCCAGTGTTTCTTTTTAGAAAATTTTATTTCGTTTTTATATTTAATTATTTTTAGGTCGCCTTGTCTTTTTTACGTTCTAAATCTTCTAAAACTCGTATTTTGAGTTATGCTAACAGATTTCTTAACGGTGTAAACGTTGTTATAAAATATATTATACAAATAATGTTTTAGCATGTATCATGTCTTTCAAACATTCCATTTAAATGTTTAACTTATTAACATCGCATAGAAAATTACAAATAAATTATGAATCATAAATGAAAATGAATCGTAATGTTTGAAACACAATGTATTTTTAAAAACCCGATTAAATTAACAAAATCATTTTAATATAAAATTTGAAATAGAGCGATTGGTAAAATACACATATAATAATTTCTTAATATGTACATATGGGTGATGAATTATTTACAGGTCACTTCAGCCAATTGTAACAACTTTTTTTAAACAACCGTAGTTCGGGAAAGCTTTAAAAATCACTTAAAATAAGTAAATGAGACACCAAATTACGTTTTGAAAATCTGCAAAAGCGTGAAAATAGTTAAAGACATGAACTTAAATTTTAGCACATTAACAAGTGACAAATTAACTTATTTTTGTTATAAAAGCTGAAGTCAAATGAGCTTAAACGGTAAAAAGTTTATTTCCACATTGAGAATAGATCATGTGAATCACATACACGTTATAAATTGATAAAATGAAAACAACATTGCGTTGAAGGACGCTATTCTATACAATTAAAAAATCATAGAAAAATTTTAATTAAAATCGACACACAATTCTTCTTGGTTGATTGCGGAAAACAAAAGATCAATATAAAAGTGTTCAAAAAACTGATAGTTAAAAACTACAGCATCAACATTAAATATTAAGAGATGTTTCCAGGAGCTCGTCATCATCTTTATTAACACTAGTGGTACATGAAGTTTGAGAACCATTTCCACAGTTGGTTGATAACGTAAGGCCAATAAGTTTGTTGTAGTGGGCTGCATTCGTGATACTCACAAAATCCGGACTATTCACACCGTTCTGGGATTTAGCTCTAGTCGAATCCTTTTCATCACAATTATTTTTAATAGTTTTCAAACTCTGTTCATAGACCAGACTAAATTCGTTCATCACCTTTTTAATAAATAAAAAATATCATTTCAATTATTTTTATGGAAAAATATTTAAAACCATCAGTAAACAGAGTTTAAAAATTAATTATTTTAAAAATCAGTTTGAAAATGAATATAAATTTGTTCCAGTCTGGGTAGCTATCTGTAAAGATGTCATAGGCTACGTGGAACAATTAAAAATTGCGGTGGTTAACTGAATGCAAATTAATTAAACTATAAAAAAAGAAAAATATCAGCAATCTGATAATGGTAGATACTTTCAAGTGCTCTTCAAGATCTGCAAGAAGCTGGTCCACCCAGTCAAGTACATTGAGTAGCTGGCATGATGACTTTGCAAGCATTACAAGATGATTCACAGATAGGACCAATGAGGAACATCTTGAAATAACGTTTTTACAATATTCTTTTGTGCAATTATGTAAAGCTATTGCTTGGATGAATGTTATTTTATACAGTTATAAAAAGTTTCTGTTCTTATTCAAACATAAAAGAATCTATTAAAAGCATGCAAAATTTTAATAAGAAGAAACTGCAACGGTTCCTCAAGAAATGTAAAATGTTTTTGATATTCCATAAAATGTGAAAAAAAATGATGAGTATCAAACAAGATGAACTCAAAAAACCTAGCTTCAAAAAGTCTGGGATCAAGAGGTGGATACATAGATTGAACAACATCATCTACCCTTGACCCAATTCTTTTGGCAATAGACACCAAATCAGTTAACGTTTCAGGATTCTGTAGTTTGCCTTGTTGCACTGTGATTGGAATGATCTTTGATGCCAGCAAGTGAGCAATTTTTAGTATTCCTAAGCAATGAGGCACTAGATCTCTGTGTAAATTTCATCAATATTATATTACAAAATTTAAAAGACATATATGTTGTCAAAAGGAATTTCCTCTTTGATTTGGTAATATAAATTACTGATTGATCAGTGTAAGACACAAAACACTAACATAGCACCACTGGCCCATTCCTCATTAGAATATATTTTATCATTTGGATCCATGACTTCGTTAACCTCACCTAGTTCAACTTCATTATTGTTCTCGTTGCAACATGTTTCCATGTTTTCCACAAGGTTCTCCATTTGACTGTAAAAAATTATTGAAGATTATTTCAAACATCTTTTCATAAAAAATATTTCAATTCCGAAAACAAAAACTATAACAAAGTCATAGAATAGAAACATGTTCCAGTCTTTAAAAACTTATATCTTTGAAATCACTCATCATGGAACAAAAAATAAAATTGATCCAGAGTTAAACAATAAATTTCATTTATGTAATATTGCATTATATTATGCCATGTTTTCGACAAATTTCCAAAATTTTTTTTTACAATTTTGGTATCTGAAATAGTGAAAAAATGAGTAAGACAATAAATTAAGGAATCAAAAAACCCCATTTATCTGGTAATTATATGCCAATTTTGTTGGCACATTTGACTGCAAATCAGTCCATGAACTTAAAAATTAATTCATTTGTGTTTGATTAAAAAATAAAATAGAATAATTATGTCTATTTTATGTAATGTATGCACAAAGATTTTATTCTATTGCAATAAATTATATAGTGCATGTATTTGTTGCCAGTGGGATCTAGTGGGGGATGTCAGGAGCAATGGCTATTCCTGTTGTGAACAATTTTTTAATAAAAGTCAGAAAAATGATCATTTTATGAGCAAATTCAACCAAAAATTAAATGTGATAAGCAAGATAAAGGTTGTCAGCAACATTACCACATATTCTGCCCCCCTTATAAAAATTTAAACATTTTTTGCCTCCGCCAAAGTTGCCTAGATTCGCCACTGTTTGTTTCTATATAAAACTTCTGAGCGCAGATTGGTGTTAAGCACTTAATTTAATCAAATTGTATAATAATGTATTTATTTTGTATAGCACACATGTATAATCTATAATGTATAATAATCGTATATTATATAATTTATAATATAACAGCACATAGCAGCTAATCAATAGCTAATCTAATATAAAATTAAATTCATTGGTTAGCCTATTCTATTGGCATTAGTTGTTAGTTAGGTTTGTTCACATTCAAATCAAGCTTTGTTGAAATTTGCCTACACAGACCTTTAATAATTTTAATTTTTTAAGTAACTGAAGAAATAATTTAATAAAAACAGTGGAGATAGAATATAGCTTGACAAAAAAGGAGAAAGAAGAGGATTTCAAACTTAACCTGTTTTCGTGTTGATAGTACCCCACGATATCATTGAACGGTTTGCACAGTTTTTTTCTCAGAATAATTATCAAAGCAATCAGTGCACCGAAAAATATAGCACTCAAGATGCTAATGGCAACAATAGAGGTTGGATTCATGTTCACTAATTCAGTAAGTTAGTTGGTCACTGACGCCTGATCATGAAATCAATAAACTTTAAACAGCAGGCTACGTATCAACACTGATTCGGAATGACGTTCAAGCGAAATACTCGCATTTAAAATACAAAACGTAAACAAACAAACAAAATTTCTTTCCTTTATTTATAGTTTATTTATGTGTAAACCAAGCTCCACAAGCTACAACACAGTGCTGCTAACTACCAAAGCATCATGGAACAATGATGTTATGAAGAAGCGCATTCAAATGTAAAAATGTAGAGTTCTATGTATTAATTGAGTTAGATTTGCATAATTCATAACTCATATAACTCGATTATTCTTGTGTGTAAAATATCTTGAAACATTTTCAGCAAATTAAAAATACGTTTTGTTGCGATACGAGCCAATCCCAGAATATTGGATAGATTCGCATAACTTTTTGACCCTTGCGTCTAATAAGATCGTTGATTCTCACGGCCCACGTTAAGCCTTCCTTCCTCGTGTGCATGTGCCATTCATTATTTGAATCAGTTGCGTTTTGTATCATTTCAATGGTTTTCTGCTTTGTATTATTTTGATTAATTAATTTTAAAGCACCGTCTCCGTGACGTTCAGCCGTGCTCCTCAATGAATTTTGCAATCAGATCCGCTCTAAACTTGTGGTAGAAAAGTAGAGAAGAGGGAAGAGAATTCTAAAAAGATAGACCAGGAAAGGCTGAAGTAAATTTTGCATAATTTTTATCATTTTACCAAAAATGATAAAAATTAAAAACTTGAAGACGATCGTAGGCAGGTCGCTTTATTTTAGTTAAAATACTTTATAGATATTGACACTTATGAATTAAGTTAGTTTGAGATGTGTACGTACATTAATGTGCTCATTTTAAAACTTATTTAGTAAGCAACCAATATAAGAGATCCATGAAGATAATATAATTAAAATGTCTTGTAAAAATTCAATCATTTATGTTCTTAAATATTTATGTTCATCTTTCTAAACTTTGTGTAAAGCTGATGAAATGTTATACACGATGCATTGACGATTGTTACTTTTTTTTATTATGATATCATGTTTATGTGGTAACCTATAACATTTATATACATGTATACATATATATTCATATATATATATATTATATATATGTATTTATATATGAGTATTAACTATTTATATACGACATACATATGAAAACATCGTTATTATATTGCAATTAAAATTGTTATAATTTAAACCGCAACATTTTTAATATCGTCACCCTAATAAGCATCGTCGTCCCCATTATCATCAACGTCATCATCATTAACATCTTCAACAACAACTTCATCATCAACAACAACAACAACAACAACTTCATCATCATCATCATCGTCATCATCATCAACGTCATCGCCATCAGTTCGTTATTATTTCTTCCCGTTGGTAACATATGTGAGCACCCGCACGATTCAATAGTGAATAAATATATCAAACGCCTTTTCTCATACTCATCTCATTCACGTTTAACCCGTTCGTCCACATCACTATAACTTATAATATTTATTTTTGTGTATTCGTAAAATAATTTCAATTGCTCAACTGTATTTAGCATAGCATAACCCTATAAAATTTAGTTCGTCAGCGGGAATTAAATAATCACCAATAGATTACCTACATGCTTTGTGCATATTTTTCTATTTTTGTTAGAAATATGATTGCATTTTTTTAATGCATTTTTTGTATATATTTTTAATGAATTTTTTGAAATATTATATTGCAAGAAAAATAATATTATCCGACACTTTCAGAAGCATTTTGAGCTGTGAATTAAGTTAACTCTACTTTAGTTCCGACATCACAAAAAATAAAGTTTTAGAAATTTTTTACTGAATAAATAAGCCTACAAAACAACCAATATAATTATAAAATGCCTAGCACATTTTTAGCACATAAAATTTAAAAATCATTAATGTAATATAACGATGCAGACTGAATTTCTGTATTCAATATTTTCCAACCGACAACATCATCCTTAAATTTCATTGATGCCATTGCTGACATCATCATCAAAACTGCCATCTTCTTCCTCATCATCATCACTAGCCAGAGAATCGCCATTGTTGTTGTTGTTAGAGTGGTTGCGATCGTCGTTGATGCCCAGAAAGAGGTTGTTGTCGATGCTGTGGTTGATGCTGTAGTGAGGTGCTAAATTGCGCAGTTGTTGCTGTTGCTGCTGCTGTCCAAGTATCAAGGGCAGTTGTGCGTGGTCCAATGATGTGCTACACAAGTTCACGTCACACGTCATTGGGGATAAATCTACATCAGATTGTTTTATTAAGTATACATAAATAAAAATTTCAAACTTTTTTTACATAGCTATAAAAAACAAAATACGGAAAATTGCCTAAATTAATGCTACTGATACGAAAAAATTTAGAACTATTTAAAATTTTAATTTGATAAATATCTAGGTTTATTAAAAATTCTAATACAAGACATTTAAAAGTAACCTTTAACATTCCCAGAAAATGCAGCATTAACGCAGTTTCCGATATTTCCTGGGACGAACGTTCCTGAATCAACCTGCTTAATCAAGTCGGACATGAACTTAATGTAAGTCACCGCCAATTTTAGCGTTTCTATTCTTGACAACTTTTTCTCGTAAGCGAATGTTGGCACTTTTTTCCTGAGACCATCGAAGGCCTCATTAAGATGGGACATTCGTTTGCGCTCCCTTATGTTAGCTGCTCGTCGTTGGTCGGTTGTTATGACGCGGCGACGTTTTTTTTTTGCGGTGGAGGCCGTCGTTGCGTCGGCGACCGTCCACTGCTGCCTCACGTGTTGTTGCAGGTTGCTCTGTGAATATTCAGCAGACAGGTTCATTTGCGTGATGTCGTTGAACTGGAACTGCCGAGGTATTTGAAAGTTCAGTTGTTGATCGTGTTGCTGTTGCAGTAGATGTTGCGGCTGCTGTTGTTGTTGTTGTTGTTGAAACATGGTGTCTGTTTGGATTGGGAATGTTGTTTAGGGGACATCTGGGAATCATTTAGTTTCAAATTAGTCAGATGATTGGTATCGAGGTTCATGCCGGGAATGTCTATGAACTGAAGACTAGAAATAGGTAAATGAGTTGTTGAAGATTCAAATTTTGTCCATTGATTAATTTTTTCAATTTGCTGCTGCTGTTGTTGAAACAAGATATGAATTTGTTGCTTTTGTTGTTTGTATTGTTGCGTTTCATAGACTTGCTGAGTTACAAACGGCAAGTTTATTTTGTTTTCATCAGAATTTGGAAGCAAATCAATTGGAGGACCCAACGTTGTTTTTGTATGCGTTGGATTGCATTGTTTTAAAGTGTGCGGTAAAAAAATTAATTCATTTTGTTTTATCAATGTGCTGATGTAACTCACTTCGCTACTGCAACCAGCCATGAAGTGGTGCGCCGAGGACAAATCGAATTTCGACTGATGAAGTGACGGCTGGCTGGAAAGGGAAGGCAGGAGATCCAACGATGGCAATTCAGAGTTGAATGCAGTCGAGGCAGTGCTCGGTGAACCGAATGTTGTCTCTAAGCAGCTTGAACTTGAAACTTGCGTCATTGCTGGATGTTGATCAGATGACATCACTTTCAAATTATTTGCTTCTTTCACCGACAATAAATTGTTTCGATATTTGCAAAATCAGTGTTTTCTCTGTTATCAACGTTAGTATTGTCTGTTAGTATTGTGATTGTTGTCTGTGTTAACAAATTGTTCTAATTTTGTATTGCTGCTGTTCTCATCAAATAAAGTTTTGTCCATAAATTGAAATTTCACTGGCTGCACTTCACTTTAAAAAAGCTATTTATCCAAACTTCAACTTATTGTGGATGATTTTTATAAATCCAACAATTATTGCACTGCTAAATAATTTTATTTTGAAAAGAACTTTATTTTAGAAATATTATTATTCAATTTCCCATTGTTGAACTATTTTTATATTAAAAATTAATACTATTTATTTTATACTATGACCAAGTCGTTCTTATTTTTTCAACTTTATCTATTTTTAAATATTTAGTTTAATTGTGAGATTGTCAGTTTTTATGGTCATTTCATCAGATGAAAATTTACCAAAACTTCATTTGATGCATTCGTGTTTCATCTTGGGAGTATTTATTGATTCAAATTAAAATACAGTGGGGCGGAGTTTTCTTCGTTTCGTCACAAAATTCTCGACCAATAAACGCACGAGCTTTTTAAAGTACTATAATCTGTGATATTATATACCAGCAAAGATTTTTGCTAGTTTAGCAGCAAACATTTTATTAATTAAAATTCAAATTGTAAACACCTCAAACGTTTGAAAAAAACTTTTGAAATAACAAAATGAGCTGATGAGTGTTCGAAAGATGGGCAAAAAATGTGTTCGTTGTGGTGTACGTTGTTGTGTAACAGCTTGCGCTGATGTCTTCAGGATCATGTTGTGCAAAACTTTATTATAATATTAGATCGCTTCAATAAGATATCTATACAAATGGAAAGAACAATTTTCTATATTACAATATCATAGATTGTTTTAATAAAATATGTGTGCAACTAAAAAAATAACATTTCTACCGTTGCCTGTTAAAATATTAATTAAATTATTTCAATTCTGAGAAAAATTTTTTTAATATGTATTCACTTTAGGTTGATAGCATCACATTTAGGTAAAATTTATGTATTCAATTTATTCTAGCACAGTCAGGAGACCAGAATCTTAACATAAGCTTGTATGGCCACCCTAGACACAGGAAAAAAATGAACAAAACCAATTAAAAAACAAAACTAAACATCAAAATAAAATATAATGTTCAAATAAATGACTATATAAACAGAATAGTAACAGTAACGAATTAAGTGTTCAATGAAAAAAAAGTTTTGAAACGTTTATACTTGGTACAAGATCTTGCTTGTCGTGGCAGTTGATGCCATAACATGCGACTTTTGTTATTTTGTTGCATAAAACACTTTACGATGACAATTTTAACTCGAAATCACCACAGTTCTGTTTTTTGTAGCTTAGCGATTTTGAAATAGACAATTATTCAATATGCTGCATTTTCAATCAATCAACCAATTAGCTTGTAAAGCGCTATCTCCGCGATGTTCAACAGCACTCCTCAATTAATTTTGCAAACAGATGGGTCTTGAGATTCGCTCTGAACTACGTAAGTGATAGAGAAGTAGTCAGAGAAGTAGGTAGAGAGTTCCAGAAAATAAGGGCCAGAAAAATCAAATGCAGATTTAGCAAAAGAGTGTTTAACACGAGTTAAGAAGAAGCGAGAACAAAGAGAAGATCGTAAACCGGGACGTTTAGGTTCAATTAATATATCTGATAAGTACTTAGGAAATAATTTAGATTGAGGCTTATACATAAATGTGCAAATTTTAAAAATTATTCTATATTTTATAGGAAACCAGTGCAAGAGAACAAGATATGGAGATATAAAGAAAGGGGCACGAGCAACTAGATGAGCAGCAGAGTTAAAAGCTTTGCTTAAAGGATTGAGTATAGAATCAGGAAAACCATAGTAGAGCGATTTACAATAATCAATCGTAGATAAGACTAACGAAGTAACATGAAGGAGAAGAGTAGGATCATCAAGAAAAGGCAAAAGTTTTTTTATTCTACGTAGATGAAAGTAAGAACTTTTAGCAACACTATTAATCTGAAAAGAAAGAAACATACTAGAAACAAAGATAAAGCCTAGACTACGAAACTTGTGAGAGACATCAAGAGTTTTAGAATCAGGTAAGATAATAGGAAGAATACTAATAGAGTGTTCAGATTTGTTAAAACAAATTCTCAACACACAAGTTGTAAATGAAAACCAATGTTTCAAATCATAAATAAAAGTGTTCGAAAACTTTGATCAATCACCTTTTGCTGAATATTCAATATTATATTGTTTTATGAAACGCCAGTAGGAAAATAGAATGGTAAGCAAATTCAGCGAATAAGCGTCGTTGTTATACGTGCCACAGTTGGACGCCTCTTTCAAACAAAGAATGAGATAGATGTTTGTGTGTTTGTTAGTATTTGTATTAGCTGTCATTTCTGGAGCACCAATTAAGAAATAATGTTATCTGTGCTCTAAAATAACTGGTCTATTCAAAATTAGAAATTAAACAGGTAAGTTTTCTGAGTTGAGCAAGTGACAAACCCAGTCACCGCAAATTTAAGATACAGGAGGGCTATTTCACAACACCTAACCTGCAAAAGTAAAATTGCCATCTGAAGCCTATAAGTTTCATTTTTGTACCGGACAAAAAAACTATTTAAATAAATACATCGTTCACGACACAACGATAATGACTCTTGATGCACTTCTCTGATGAATATTTACCGGGAGATACTCTTTTCGTTAAAGAAAAACACAATTAATCTATCAAAAGTCTTGAAAGCTCAAATCTGTTTTTTAGATTTACAATTTTCATTCGACGGTTATTAAGGTTAACAAACTTGTGTGCCTGTGAGCTTTGTTCTGTAATTTTTCCATGGAGTGTTTAAATTATGTCTGACTTCTAGCGAATAAAAACTATTTTTCTTATTGAAGTATTTATTTGTAGTTTTCTTCTCTTCTTCAAATTTTCTTCGTTAAATTAATTTAAAAACCATTTTTAATGAATTTTTGACTTTTTCTGAAAATTTCATTTAATTCAGTAAATTTTTATTTAGAAATATAGGCTGAATCGTTCTGGTGTTATCCAAATGCTTCACGAATGCGGCCTTGAGTGATTCTTAATCCGTCATTAATTAATGGTAGAAAAGTGCAAAACTGGATATTACATTAAATTGACCCACCTTCCCCCCTGCCACAGAAGGTCACAAAATTTTTGAATCCCTTCCCTTTCAAGGCATGACATTCTTTACGGACAGCTCCAATTTTTTTTTATTAAACTGTTTGTGATTGTGTTGTATGAACGTTTGAATGGAATGTTATTGTAATTTTATATTGTGGAATTAAACAAATACTACGTTATATAAATATAATATCATTATAATAATGTTTAATGCATTTGAGCCGAAGTCAGGTTGTCTCTATTACCATTCTTTTCCAAAAGTGCTTAAAAATTATTACTTCTAAAAACAAAAAGCGGTTTATTCTTAATCAAGTGCTACTAATTCAAAATGGTTGTAAGCCTCAATGTTTCCAACCAAAATGGATTATCCTTAACTTTTGTCTGAATCGCCTAATCTTAATTCTTCCTTCTGTGTTCATGGCGACTTCCTGCAAGCAAATTATCCTATTTATTGACCACTTCTTCAAAGGCACTCAACTAATTTGAACATTTGATTGAGATCGGAAAATAATTGTATATTTTCTGAGTATCCATTATTTTTTTTGACATTGTCAAATGTGGCAGCAACTGATAGGTAATTTTTTTTCAAAAGTTTCATTGATCGCTCAATTACTTGCAAAGTTCATAGCAAATCTTGATATCCTCCCACACAAGGGCATTGGATTAAAGTTTATTAATTGATTTGATTGAAAATGACTTTTAATAATCTGTCTAATATTAATTTTAACAATAAGATTATAATTCATAGAAGCTGAGAAAAATGAATTCAACGGTATTTTATTTTATTGAAACTAAATAGAATGATTTAATTTTATATCTAAAGGTGATCGTGCACACTTGAGCAAAAACTCAACCCATCTAGTAAGTTCTACGAACAACATTGTGATGCAACATGCAACCACTAAAAATGCGTTGTTCTTGTTTATGTATGATGTGCTTGTGCAGCGGTCTAAAACGTGTCGTGCTGTCTGTCTGTCGTATTTTAGCCAGCCTCAATAAAAAGTATCCACTGATTAACAATGCATTCATTTGTGTTTGTGTCTTTAAAAAATTAAGTTATAAATTAAATTTTAATTAGTCTAGATAAATATAACAAATCGCATCACGTATAACACTAATTTAAAACACAAACATACAACTGTTGAATTTTTTTAAATTAACTTAAAAAATTTCTTTTTAACGATTTAACTTTTTGTTAAATTGTGAAAAATATGTATTGAAATGTGCAAGCACAGAAATTAAAATACAATAAAAAAATATTAAAGTAATCAGTTTTAATATAGAGAAAAAATGCAATGAATGCATTGCATTTGCAGCAAAATAATGGCGAGCCGGAAATAATTGCTGAGAAACAAACGATTCCATGCCCGCACATTTATAAGTCAATATCGAACAAACAACAGTAGAATGTATATAGAAAACAGTTTGCAAGCGTCAGTCTTGTAAAAGAGAAAGTGTGCAAACATGGCCCAGGCAATTAAAAAACATTTCAAAACAATAAATTGAGACTTGAAGAAATAGACTAAATTTTTTTAATGGAGTGAACCTTTTCAGGTACGCAAATACTTGCATCCGGATCCATCATCCCTTTTTGCATTACCAGGGAAACATTAAACGGAGTGTGTGGGATGATTGAGCTATATTCATTCATTGTTTGTTCAATTCATCGCTTGCTCATCAAGGCCCATCAATATATCAAATGACAACACACCACACTGGCAGCAACACTCAACAGGCGCATGTGTACAATGGGGAATGAAATATGGCTAATTTGCTTATTGATGCTTTTAAATGCAAATGCAATTCTGCTGAGCGATGTTAAGGTCGATTTGACCGGTGAATTATGAGGATTCTAAAAAAAATCAATACTTTGATGAGGCTGGTGACGATGAGAATGAGGTTAATGATGACGATAATGAAGGTTATCTTGTGGAATGAAATTGATTATGACATTAGCTTGTTCTACTATTTCATTCATTTTCAATGGCAGCCCATTTTATGTGTTGAAATCTGTAATTATTTAGTTATTAACTTATAATTTAGTTATTAACGTATAATCTTTTTCATAGTCAGCCAAACATCTGTTAAGTTTTGTTAAAATATGTGGCTTATGGAAATAATTGAGTTGAAGCGTTGTTTGTAAATGAAAAACATAATTTACAAAATCAATGCAGTTTGTTGCACAACGAAAATGCAACCGTTTACTCGCGTATATTTGTGAGGCGGAAAAAAGAATATTTGGATATCGCTCTAAAGGAAGGCAACACAACTTCATAAAAATATTTTCACACAAAATTGCACAATAGTAACTGTATGCCATATTGACGGAGTGAATCGTTATTAAATGATCTCAAATGATCTTAGAAATTGAAATGAGATTGAAATGAGATTGAAATTTATTTAGCAGTTAATATTGAGAGATCAAAACTCGAAGTGTCCAATCGACTGGCCATTTGGCTAGATCTTCAATTTTTTTAAATGTGCCAAGTCGATATTAATTTGAAAACTTCTAACTTAAAAATAATTCAATTCTTCTTGACATATAATTGAAAAAATAACTGAAACTTATTTAAAAATTATTTCAACAGTTATATATCGGATAGGTCAAGTACATTTAATACTTGTAAAATTGTATTTATCGCAGAAATAAAATTAAAAATATGTCAAGATTCTTAAATGAATAGTTTTTATTTTTAACCTTATAACATTCTGTAGCTTACTGAAGGGTTTTATTTGTATTCCTAGGATTTTTGACAACCAAAAATTTTATTTTACTCATATCACCAAAATTAAAGATGGTTTTCAGTTTTATGTAGCAGCAAAAAAAAGAAAAAAAGATCTCTTAAAAATTTTTATTCAACCTGAAAGATTAAAACACTTTTCTTACTTTTTTGAACAAACATAATAAAAATAGTACACCAAAAATTTGAACATAAAAAGCAGATATAATATTTGTAGAAGAATGTGAAGAAATGTGAAACATAAAGACATCTTTATAAATCTTTTAAAAAACCTTCACACAAAATACATCTAATTGGAGAACGCTTTTGTATCGTTACAAAATAAAACGTCTATAAAAAAGTCATAAACAAAAAAAAAATAAAATTTTTTTTAATGAAGTTCATTAAAGAAAATAATGGCTTCTGCATATATTTATTCCAGGATAAAATACGCGGTTTAATAGCATTGGTAACGAGATTTCTAATAAATCCTTCTAAGGATATATGGTATTTTTATGACCAGGTGTTGAAAGTGATTAAAAATTAAATTACATAGCACCAGTACAACATTTTTTAAAATGGTACAGTGTTTGAAATAAAATAAGATAGTAAGAATTTTTAGTATTATACTGAATGATTTTGCAAAATGTTTTAAAGTGCTGACATGACATTTAGAAAGAAGTGCATTCACGACGAACAAACAAAAACAGTTTTTATGTTTTAAAACCAATTCAATTTTGAAACTTTTTCAGAATAGATAATATCTAAAATTTACAAATATGCAAATGTCAGAGGCGGCTTCTAATGAAACCACAAACAGATTTCATTTTAAAAGTTTAGATGTTTGTTAATTTTCCTAAACTGGAAAACAATTTAATTCAAGTGGTTGAAACGTGTTTTCAAAAACCAATCCATACTCAACTCTAAGCCTAATAAAAGAAACGTTGGTTGCACTACTGATTAAGTTCTTAAAATTTTAAACAAAAATGCACAAATTCTGAGTTTGAAAATCAAATGAACTTTATTTTTTCTTTTATTTTTTCAAATAAAATCAATATTTTTTTCTTTTGTTGCTTTAAGAAAAATAAAATCAAAGAAAAAGTTTATTTAACTTTTCCAGGTTTTAATTTGGTGAAAATGCTTGTAAAATATTTGCATAAATGCGTTTGACTTTAAAAATTAACCAACGCAGGAATAAACTTGCACTTCTATAGCACAGTTTTCTTTTAACATGATAGAAAAAAATATGATGCGAATTACCCTTTATCAATAAATAAAATAAAATAGATAAATAATCAAATATAAAAAAACTAAATGAGTTTAAATATTATTTTTATTTGATAATGTGTAACTTTTAATAGGAAAACTCCATGACAATGAATCAATTTTAAATTATCATGCACGTTGAAAAAACATCGCAGCTCCAAGTAAACGAAACGTAACAGTTAAACACTTCTCAAATTGTTGTTCAATCATCAGTTACGGATATTTATTTAAAACTATTATTAAATTGTTTTTTATTTTCATCACTTAATCTGCTATATTTTTTAAATATATATAGATAATGTTTGATAAAAAGCAAATAAGAATGTTAGCAACATCGTTTATGGCATATACATGAAAGATAGTGACAGATAAGCATGAGTTCACAATATCAATTCTGATTATATTAAATGACATCAAGTGTTGTTAACGATGAAAGAATCACTCACACCAACGTCTCAGTGAGCCACGAGTAAAAAATAAAATCGTTTCCAGAAAATTTAATTGTCCGCACCATCAACATTGATCTTTAAATTTTTCATGACCGAACTTGTGAGTATTGAACTCTTGGTGGACAACGTTCCAGCACTGCTTCTCCAACTGAGCCCGTATAAGCTGCTCAAAACATTTCTATTACCGTTTCTAAAGTTAATTTCGTTGTAATTTCTTTTAAACTTTGGTCCTGGTTTGTTGCATGGTAGGCATGACAATGGAATTTTTCGTGAGTTGTTTTTTTGTTTTTTGAGCATTAGACTTTTTTGTTGAGAAAGTAAATTCTGTTGACAAAGTTTCTTGTTAATGAAATGGTGCGATGGCTTTCTTCTCCTACATTGCATCAACGATTTCAACTCCCTCCTAAACTGCTGACCCGTCATGCAGTAGAGAATAAAGTTGATGGCATGATTCACCATAGCCAGTTGGTTGTTTACCAATGTGGCAATCCCATATGCTTTCTCATTTTTCCTTTTCCATTCTGTTTTGCTGATTGTTAATATGATGCTTGGAGCAACACATACAACAAATGTTATTGAAACAGCCAAACACATTAGAGATGTCCCGGTGAATATATATTTAATTTTTGGCTGCAACGGTTGCGCACCGTTCGACGAATTAAGAAGAGAATTTTGCATTGATGGACGTTTCGTGTTCTCCACTTGTGGAATGCAGTGATTTGGTTTTGCTGATGTTTGGTCTTCTTCATATTTTTCTTCTGCTTCAATTTTGTCGTTTATCATATTTGAATTTGAGAGATGTTTCTGAACTATAAGATGTTGAATTTTAGACGAACCACTTGTTGGCGAATATTTACAATATGATGGTTTCTTTTCAAAAAATTTCGCCGCTGTTAATTCAGATTTTGCTCGAGAATTATTTAATACTTCTGGATCGAGTTTTAATTCATTCATTTGTTTTGGTCCATCAAAAATTTGCTTCTGTTCCTTCTTCTGACAGCTGTGGTACTTAATTTGTTGTTGCTGGTGCTGATGCAACGATGAGGCTGATGAGCTGTCGCACTTGCTGGACATCGATGGCAGAGGAGCACTCCCGTTGTTGCCTGCGGTCCTGAATCGGTGAACCCTGACGAGAGTCACGACAATCATGACATTGGATACAATGAGGATGGTGGCCGGCAGAACTGTGATGAAAACAAATGCTAGCCAGGTTCTGATGTCTTGCTCAAAATACTTGTACCTTTCTAAACGTTGACATTTTAATTGTCCATTTTTGAATGGAGTGCGATGTGTTGTGTGCTGGAACATATAATTTATTTTATTTATGACTGGTTCGATCGACCGCCCAGATAGTAACATAGTCTCGTTTGAGCTTGTTCGCGTGTTTGTTGACGTTGTGATTTCATTCACTGAAACATTTTTTATTTTATGATAATTAAAAAAATTGTTTTCATAAAACAGTTTTTTTGTGTTTCCTTTGAATTTTCGATCATCTGGTATTTCATCCATTAAAACTAAACCCCTTGTCCAAAATACATGAGCGTTTTTAAAAATGGCAGCAATAACAACAGCACCAACAAAAATTTTTGCTGAACTTGGCTTGCACAAGCTTCTTTTTTTCAATGGAAAACATACAGCCACCAACCTATCTATCGTGAAAGCCACCATGAACCAGATTGCAGCATCACTCGATGTATAAAAACTGAACTGTTCTATTCTGCAACTCCACTCATTAATTGAACTAAAATTTAAAACACCAGCCACTCGCATAAATTCAGGAATTATTTTCCATATTAGAGCCAGGCTGTCGCCAACGGACATAGCAGAAAGATAAATTCTTGTAGGGCTATGCTTTAGCGGTCTTTTGTTGACTACAGATAGCGTCAAAATATTTCCAAACAAACCTATCACTAAGATGAGAGGTGAAATGTAGAGCCATGTGAATCTGTAATAGTCTAAAGATCGCTTGGAATTGGATATATATGGACTGGTAAATGAAAAACTCACTGATGTTTGTGTTGATAACGTTAAATCCAGCGTTGAAGGAAGAACATTTTTTGTTGAAAATAGTGAGGAGGAGTTAAATATTTCATTATGTTGTAAATAAGTTGTTGTAAAATATCTAGATGTTTGGAAAGGACCAGTTGATTCATTGCGCATGCCTGGCTCTAGCATGTTGTTTGTGCTGTTCAAAATTTGATATCTTCAAACGCTAAAGCAACATTCGCTTTATAATTTCTAAAATAAAATCTTGAATTTTTTTTGTCAAAATACTTTTTAAAATATATTTTGTTGAAAATGTATAAAATTACTTTTGAATATTAAAATTTATTTATTTATCTCAAATATCAAATCAACGAATCTAAATTCAGAACATTCATTTTAAAGTTGTTTTCTATCCGTAATTATTTGAATGATACGACTCATAGGTTTCTATAAAGAAATGATGTTAATTTTCAGACGTTAAAATGATTTTACAGCAACGTATGAAGAGTACAGCATGGAATTTCAACGTTCACCACAATCGATTTTAAATATATCATGAACTATTCTATCCGTTGAATAACAATTGTACGAAACTGACAGTCTGATAAGTTTGAATTTTTCATTTTCACACACTGTTAAAACATTTACATTCTAAAAGAAGTCTGACATTTTTTAAATTTTACAACGTTCAATGTCGTTATTTACAATTAAAAATGCATGTGCCAAATAAGCCGTACTAAATAGCTGTGAATTCACTTTATTATAATTGAAAATCTTATTATATATATATATTTTTTATTATATATAGCGTTTTCTTTTTGTTGTTTTGTCATTTGATCGTGAGAGAACAATTGCTAATACTATCTTTTAAACGAAAACATAATTTCCATGCTCCCATTGCATGATGCAGATGCATGCCTAATATAGATTCAAAAATTATATATATATATATATATATATATATATATATATATATATATATGTGAGTGCAGTTCTACAGCCCCAATAAGAAACTATACAAGCAGATAGACCGCACAGCAATAATCGAGGATATAATTAAAAATAAATTACAACAACTTAACAGTCCACAACATAATAATCCAAACGCTGACATCATCATTTAACAAAATTGCTAGTGTGAAAGGAAAAATGAAAGATTGATGTTTCATTATTATGAACATCACTTAGCCTGGTTCCTAGAACTGTCATTCTCTGAGGTGTCATAAAATGGATCGATCCCGGTTGACCGTGCGGACTCTCTCTCAGTGTTGTGTTGATCGCTTGTTGAGAATGGGCCTCCGTCTCTTTTGTTTACACCACGTCTCCTGCACCTACGTGTTGGAGGTGTGTGCGAGAGTTTTACGCTTTTGCAGATATTGTTCGTGGAAATTTGATTGTAAAAATTATTTACTTGGGAAAGTTTAATAGTTCTAAAAAATCAATTAAAAGGAATCGCAATTTTATTACCAAATGAAGAAGTTGATGTTCATATAAAATGCAAACAAATGAACAAAGATATATTATTATGAAAGTTAAAAATCAAAATCCTTCTTATTAAAATACAAACAGTTTGTATTTTTACCACAAAAGCTTTCATTTTTTAAACGACAAAGATTAATATACATTTGGCCAATTATTCACTTGTACAAAACTTTAAATGCCTTTTTATCCAAAAAATACGTCAATTTATTTCTCTTTTTAATAATTACTCGAAAGTCCACATTAACAAATGACTGTGAACCAACCATCTTATAAACGATGAACCAACCATCTTACAAACGATGAACCAACCATCTTGCAAACGATGAACCATCTTGCAAACAATGAACCATCTTGCAAACGATGAACCATCTTACAAACAATGAACCATCTTGCAAACGATGAACCATCTTGCAAACAGTGAACCATCTTGCAAACAATGTACTAACCATCTTGCAAACGATGAACCATCTTGCAAACAGTGGACCATCTTGCAAACAGTGTACCATCTCAAAATCAATTAGTATTAAAAAAATACGCATTTCAAACAAAAAGATGTACATCACATGCACGAAGCAGAAAATAACAACAAACGCAAATAAAATGATTATTACGAATGTTTGCACACGACTCATAAACATAAGCACAATCTGCATACATTAAAAATACATATTAATGCAAACAAAGCATAAACATTATGCAATTCAAAGAAAACACCATTGCAAACATTTAATAATAAACCACTACATTATCTAAACAGGCTGCAATTCATGATCCCAGTTTTTTTGGAAACTTCCAAGTAAGCAATTGTCATTGTTTATTTATACTTAAATATACTTCAGCATTGTTTAACCCCAAGCCAGTTTTAGAAATTTTGAAAGATAAACAAATTGATGTTGATTAAAGAAACAGATACAGAAAGAGTCATACCAATGATAATGATAGTGATGATTTAGAAAACATCGAACCACGGACAAGTTTGTCGTCAAAAGAATGTAGTGCAGTTTCAAATGTTTTGTTAGTACGTTAACGTTCAGACAGTTCATTCAATATATCATAAATGAAATTGAATAGAGAATTTGTTTTAAACATTTTTTTATGAACAAAACTGAGCTTTTTATTAGTTTTCAATCGATTTTCAGTTATTTAAAATACGCAGCAATCGAAAAGAGGCTGAACACAACAGTAATAATTTTATTTAACGGATTTAAATGCTGTTAAAAATCATCCATTTTTGCCGAAAAAAATTTTTATGATTAGTTATCATTATTATTTATTATATGTAAGAATTAGATTTATTCAAGAAATTGACCCTTATGAACTCACCCCAAAAATGTAATCTGGCGCGAAGAATTGCGGTGTTGTGTGTGTACATGAACTTGACTGTTGCTAACCTAAGTTAGATGCTTGTTTACGCGAATGAAAGCACTGATGAGTTCGTGTTATGTTTACCAAGTTACTCAAATGTTAGTCCGCGCAAAATACATTGAGGAGCGCTGTTGAACATCGCGGAACTGCGCTTTGTAAACTTATTGATTGATTGATTGCAAGATGTACGGACTAACATTTGAGTAAGAAGATAAAAAGATAAGATAGAAGGAAGAAAATAAAAAAATAATGAATTGATATTTCCCTATTTCTTGAGTGTTTCGTCAACCAATAATGTTTTTTATTTTATCTGCTGAATATGTGTGAGATGAAGTGCCTTGCAAATATTTCAGTGGGTAGTGGATATTTTGAACTTTGACAACGGTATCCACGTGGAGCATGTTGTTCAAGTGCTATCGAATTTATGGAATATTTCATTTTTAATATTTCAGAAATTTGGCTTGTATTAACCGTGTTTAATAAGCCTTTATTTCACAACTATTTTATTATTATAAAAAACGATGAAATTTAATTTATTGGAATAGTCCCATTTTTTTTATTTAATTATTTTTTTTATTACCCCAAAAATATTTACCTAATTAAAATAAATTGCACAAATATGTAAAAATAATAATTTGCAGAACTTCACGGAGTGGCGCGTAATTGAAGGTGGCAGGCAGGCAGGCTTCACATGAAAGAGACGCTCGAGAACACTTACGAGCTGATCATCTACGAACAAATATTGCTCTTACGATGCTAAAAAAGTATATTGGGAAAGTCGGAAGTTCTTTTTATTGAAATCTAAACAACAGATCTGGAACTGGAAATTCATAAGAGCATTATAAAACGTTTTTTTCATTTTTAAATTGCAAAATCTTTTGAAAATAATTTTTTAATCATTTTTTTATCAAGCGTCTTTTGTTTATAAGAAAAAATTTTAAAAACTGATACAAAAATTCAAAATGAAATCTTGTAAAAAAATTGACACGAAATAATTTACAATTTAAATAAAAACTCGCAAAAAGTTTTACGATTCATGAATTTTGTGAAAAAATTTATCTGATATTGATTTCAAATATTTTATTGATTTTAAATATAATAATATGAACAAAAATGCAAAAATGCATCACTGGTTCAACATGATTGAAAAAATAAATGTAAGCAATAAACATAAAAAAATGTGAATTATTATAGGCTTGTGTAGTGTATATCATAACGATGCCACAGTTACTTGATCTGTATGTTTCACTTAAAACTTTTTGCAATCCTTTAAAATGTTGCAATTATTTTTCGGTTCAATTCAATTTGTGTTCACACATAAGAGTTGAATGAAAATAATTAATGTTTCAAGTGATATGAAATGCGAATTCAGCATTCAATTAGGTAACCAAGCGTGAATTGAACTCTAAGAAACATCAGCACTACAGTGTGTTAGCTTCATACAGGTCCGTGGCAGTGGTGCTCTCCATTAGTCGTCTCCAGGGTATGGATTGGATGGGAGCAATGAACATTTGTGGTGGTGGTGTTAACTAACTGACGATAATGCAATGAAAAGAAGAATCGAGAATCTTTTATTCATAAACATAGAATCCGATGTTTTGAAACGTTAACTGCCATCATCAGAATAACGACACCATATTGATCGAACTTGCAAGGGAGATGGAGTCGATTGGTGAAACAATATTTGCTTGCTATGCAATGAACATTACAGGGCGCAAACAATGAATGCATTCATTTATTCGTCTGTATATCTGTCTGACCACATCTAAGTGAATATTTCGCAAGCCTGGTCATCTGTGTAAGCACTGCTTGATTTACTTACAAATGTAGAAATTATTTTCATGCATTTTGCTTCCTGCGACAAAATTATTTCATTTATTCTGTTTTTACTAAAATGTTTATTCTAAAATTCATCTTGGTTGATTCACCGCATAAAATAATCAACTCCAAAAAATTATTTTTCTTGTATTTGTGATGTAATGTGTAAAATTCGCGTTAAATATTACGAACAAATGAACCATTTAAAATTTGTGTTTTACAAAATCAGATCCTGCAATTAATAATTATTCATGTTGCATTCTCAAAATGAGCGTTGATTACCAAAGGCTGTTCAGGACAACATTAGCAGGGGTGGCTTAAATTTTTTGCATTTTACATTCTGATTACTCATAAGCTTACACTCCTGTGTAAATTTTGTGTCATGCAATCAATGGCTTTCATCTGAAATGAGGCATCTTATTGTTGTTGACCTGATGGTGGGCAGGGAGCAGGGGCAGGAGGAAGGCTACTTCGTGCTGACTAGTGATCGGAGGGATTTATTGACCATTGATGATTTGACCTCG